CTCTATTTTCCAAACACGCTCTCTCTTTTTCCCCACATAAACAGTTCCAATTAGAAGAACGACCACCTTGAGCATAGAGTATCCAATCGAAGGTAACCTCCAATATCAGAATACAACTGCCAAAGTAACATTCTCCTTTCAGATATGACCGTGCAGATGAAAGTGTAGTTATTGTACACGTAACAATCTATTCACGACAAATACTAAGCTAAAAGGCCAATTAGGGGTTAGGGGAGCTTTGATTACACATCAGCGCACAGTTGGGCACTACTGTGTTTGAAACAAAAACAACATCCCATCGGAAATCGTACATTTTTTATATTAAATAAAAAATGTATGCGTATACAGGTGTGCAGCTTTTATAACATTAGATATAATACTTCAACAATATTCTAACTCTTAGTCATTTTAAAGGGAGACATTTGAGCGCGTTCAGAACAATTGCATATAAATTATGTTTTAAAATTTGAAAGAATAACATTAAAATATGATATATTTTGGCTAATTCCAATTTGAGTAAGATTGTAGGTAACTCTTTATTGTTTAATTCTATATTAGGTAGACCGATTACAGTTAATCTCTCCCGACTAACACTACTTATCCCTGTAATTACGCTACCAGTATTGATTACTACTCAGATCAACGGTTTACCGACTATCTCCTAAAATGCATTATTTTATTGATGAAGAACGCTTTATAGACTGCATAGTCTATTTGTAAATGGAATTTGTGCCCCCACCCACCCCTTTTCACTCCGACACCACCACGATTTGCGTTGGGGTTCAATCTATCCACCGTGTCTTGGAAACAGTTGAGATCCCAACAGTTTAACTCTACAATGCTGAATAATGAAAAGAGAGGGATAAAGACACATTAGGACCTTGGAATCATTTGATTCGAAAGCGTAGTTCCAACTCCCCTGTGGGCTGAGGTGATATGCCAAAAAGGGGAAGCTGGGTGATAAATATTAGAAAGCCTACTCCTCTAGACCACTCTAAGGCATTACTAGGATGAGGAATGTTGAATAAGGACGGTATGTCGTAAAATGTGCATTGTGTAATATGTAATATTTTTTGTACAATGTGTACATGGGACTGTCTGTAGTGAGATCTTTAACTGTATTATAAGTGTGTAGCTACCACAGGGGTATGTATGCATGATACTTGCACCCCCTATAGTACATAGCTATAAGCTACCACAGATGACTGTAGTATGCTATTTCCTCCCCTGTAGTACATATATATAGCTACCACAACGCATATAGCATGATCTTTGCCTCCTCTATAGTACATAGCTACCGCAGGAAAACTGAAACACAATCATTGTCTCCTCTATAGTACATAGCTACCACAGGAAAACTGAAACACAATCAGTATCTCCTCTATAGTGCATAGCTACCACAACGCATATAGCATTATATTTGCCTCCTCTATAGTACATAGCTACCACAGGGGCTGTAGCACGATCTTTGTCTCCCCTGTAGTGTACAGCTACCGTAGAGGACTGTAGCATGATCTTTGCCTCCCCTAGAGTAAATACATACCACAGGAGACTGTAGCACGATCTTTGCCTCACCTATAAGTGTATAGCTACCACAAGGGAACGGTAGCACGATCCTTGCCTCCCTTATAGTATATAGCTACCATAGAGGACTGTAGCACGATCTTTGCCTCCCTTAGAGTAAATACCTCCCACAGGAGACTGTAGCACGATCTTTGCCTCACCTATAAGTGTATAGCTACCACAAGGGAACGGTAGCACGATCATTGCCTCACTTATAGTATATAGCTACCACAAGGGACTGTTGCACGAGCTAGCATGAAACTGTAGTATGATCCTTGTCGCTTCTATAATATATAGCTAACACAAGAGGCTGTAGCACAGAATTGTTTTCATCTGACCTTAGACAGACGGACATACAGACGTAATGACGGACAATTGGGGATAATAGGATCGTACCTATCTTACAAATACAGTTATAGAGGAAAGATGTACAACGATCGAATGCAAAAGAATGTCACCAAATATTTACAACAAAATTATAAAAAGAAAGTATTACATAAAAGAAATATCAACAGCGATGTTTATATATCGATTTATTTTATATTTTGGGGCAGTGCTCGAATGTTTTTTTTATAAACAGTTCGGAGTTGGGACGACAAATGAATAAAAGATGATCGAGAGTTGTGTTCATGAGCCATTTTACATTACTTCCTTGTGAGAAATTGCGGAGTAAGGTTATTTAATGTTCTTTACATTAATACAGCTCTCGGAAATCTGATTGAATAACTATTTCGATAATTCAATGAGCTTTTTATTTTTTCTCCCCATATTTTACCATATTTTCCCGTTTTGGTACGGTACCGACCATGATCATTCAAGAGCACCGCTACACAAATAATTTCGCGAAACCAATTACAAAAAGCAACATTAATATAATATGTGTTATGGTGTCTCAATCAACAGAAAAGAAATATGTTGATAGGGGTAAATCAGGACTTTTTATAAACAAACAAAATATGAACGCGGAGACCCTTGAAAGTAGAACAGGAGGAAGACCAGACATTCCGGAAGGGTAAGCGTCTCTTGCTTCCATCAACGACACCCGCCATGTAAATCTAGGTCAAATCACAGGTTTCTGCTTTTAAAATGTGTACATGTACATGTATTTACTATATCTTTCCCGTTTTCGAGGCAGATACTATGGTCAAATCATTGTAATGTCATGTGAGATAAGGCAGAGTAATGAGAATTGTAAAAAAAATATTATAAGTTCCGATAGCATTAGTCTTGAAAATTGCTAAAACCTACATTATATATAAATTCCTATTCTTGTGGGGAAACATGATTCGGTTTCTTTTGATTGATCCTGTTACACTAGGAATTTCGGAATCTTAGTGCACTATCATCGACGACCATTTCGGTCAGAGCAAATGCTGTACTGAAAGTAATATTTTGTTTGACATGCAGAGACCAGCATATCAATATGCGGGAAACAGAATGTCTGAAACATTTAATCACCATACCCACCATCCTTGAGCAAGGAGATACACTTTAGTCCGTGTGTTCCAAAACAAAAGAAAATGGTGTTTTTTAAGGTAACAAGAGTACCGCGGAGCGGAACAATATACGCCCGTCGAATGCCATATAGTGTTATATACTTTCTTACACTGATATAAGATCTGCATCATTCTAAGAGTGTTAGCTGACATGCAATAAAAAATGTAGAAGAAAAAATCAAATACTGAAATGAACAACGGGCAATAACTTTTGGAAAAATCGTTGAATCAAAATTCTTTTCAGAGAGACACAACTTCCTATCATGATTATAATGTATACCAATTTTCAAAGAGATCCGTTGAAAAATGTAGAAGGAGATTGCCGGACAAAAATCAAATACTGAAATAAACAAAGGCCAATACCTTTTGCAAAAATCGTTGAATCAAAATTCTTTTCAGAGAGACACACCTTCATATCATGATTATAATGTATACCAATTTTCAAAGAGATCCGTTGAAAAATGTAGAAGGAGATTGCCGGACAAAAATCAAATACTGAAATAAACAAAGGCCAATACCTTTTGCAAAAATCGTTGAATCAAAATTCTTTTCAGAGAGACACAACTTCCTATCATGATTATAATGTATACCAATTTTCAAAGAGATCCGTTGAAAAATGTAGGAGGAGATTGCCGGACAAAAATCAAATACTGAAATAAACAAAGGCAAATAACTTTTGCAAAAATTGTTGAATCAAAATTCTTTTCAAGGAACCACAACAACATATCATGATTATTTAGCCTACGAAGTTTCAAAGAAATCTGTCAAAAAATGTAGGAGAAGATCTCCGGACAAAAAAAAAGATACTGAAATGAACAAAGGGCAATAACTTTTGGAAAATTGTTGAATCAAACTTCTTTTAGGGGAGACACAACTTCATTTCATGATTATAATGTATACCAGGTTTCAAAGAGATCGGTCGAAAAATGTAGGAGGAGGTTGCCGGACAAACAATAGTTTACGCCGACCGGACAACCCCATACCATAATGCTCCCGTCAAATTTGACAGGCGTATACAAATTTATTGTGGGATAAGTATGAAACTTTTACAACTTAAATATCATCATATAACCAATATCTATGCCAAGTTGCATGCTTATCCAAAAAATGCCTTTTACGTACAATCAGCGCATAAACATTAAAAATAGGCAGAACATTTGATAAAACCATGAAAACGGTTAACTTTAAGATTAAAGCAGATGCTTTCCTTGAAGGTAGGAGACTTAAAATTACCAACAAATCAATCTTCATATATTAAACTTATCATTTTACTGCAGTTATTATGGCAAATGCCATTTTTTTTATTTGTAACTTTGACAAGTAGGAAAATAAATCAGGACCTGTAACTCACTTCAGTCACAGGTGCTGAACACATATTATGATATATATGATGTACAATATTAACAATTACTATCATATACTTATAGAATATAGGGCGTTCTGCACCTGCCAAGTTTGAGATGAGTCCAGAAGCCATAACTTAGTATCAAACAAAAGGATATGCATTTTATGAAAGTGTACTGAAATAATTAAAGTTGAAAGTTTCAACACAAAATATAAATTAGAAAGGAAATTATTTAGAAAACAAAACACTTTTCATTTGAAATTACCTAAAAACAACCCACTGACTGTATCCTCTGTTTTTTATAAACAACCTTTAATTGACGATTGGATTTTTTTCATTTTTCATTCTTATATATATGCCCGTTTAGTTTACACATATTTTCAAAAACTGGTTTTAAAGCTCATTTTAAAAACAGCAAATTATATTTGTGACTTACCCTACCCCTTTCGATCAAAATTTTACCTTAGTTTTTGCGCTGGTAATACATTAAGGAGGGTAAAATCCAAATATACTGGCGCCCAAAAAAGGGCCTTATAGACACTCATCCTTTTCACCATGTGAAGAGAATGGTCCAAAATACAAACAAAACATTCAAGGTTTTTATAAAAGAAAATTTATTTGAAAATAATATTAAATGAACTTGTATAAAATAAACAATGCTATGTGCGTTACTGTAGCTGGCTACGTGCATTGTAGGCCAGATACCATACGAACACTGCTACAGTGGCTGCAACGAACTCGCTCTGGAGGAAGGGACCCTTCCACACGCCCTGTAGAAAATAGAAATATAAGTTACATCAACAAATTGAGTTCATAAATACATTCTTTTTTAAATGCAAACATTTAAAAAATATTTCAGAATTCGTGCACAAGAACATTTTTGCTAATATTTTTACATGTAAATGAAGAAATATGTATAATCCTTGCAATGCATCTTTCAACATTGTCAATTGCAAATTTATTGCAAAAATCTAGAGAATTTTATATCCCGCTGTTCATTTAGCTTAATTTTTGAGAATTTGTGAAAGTAGTTTGATCATATATATATAAACATCCTTATATTTATCATTTTATACACAAGGATTTTGGCAAAATGAGGATTAATGTAAAAAAAAAACAATTCAAGTAGAGTGTTCTCCCTTTACTTACAGGGTGGTTCATGTTGATGGTATGAACAGGTTTCAAAGCGCCAGTATCTTCTCCACTTCTCTGAGTCTGTAGAAATACATATCTCAATTAAGCAAATTTCAGAAAAAATGAGGAATTTCCTTTTCATTACTTTTTAAGTATTGAACATAAATAAATATTAGGCACTGTTATGATTAATAAAGCAGAAATATGTCAAATTTGAAATAAAAATAAAACCTGAAAGTAATCATGTAATTCAGACTTTAACATTACAAAACGCAGCTTTTAAATTTCTCTTAAACCCATCAACCCCTAAAGTTACATTTGAACCTTACCAAATCAAAGACTGGGCAAATCCAGTTTAGATATGAAGAGGATGAATTAGTTAAACACATGGTTTTAATAATTGTCAAAAATAGCCTTGCATATTTAAACGGAGCATTATATAATATCCGCTATAAATGGTGAAAAGAATACATGACATTGTCAGCTAAAGGATGCTGTGTTAATTTATTGTATTCTGATATTTGAAATGAAAGTTTTCAACAAATGTATTTGAAATAAATGTTATTCGAAGGAATTTCCTTTTTTATAACTTGAAGTGCTGTTTCATACTAAGAACCCTCTTCATGCATTCTTAGAAAAAAATATATCAAAATTACTAACAACTACATTTTTGATGGGAACATATATTTTTCTTTGCTGACCAAGAACAAGGTTGTTGTGATCCTTGTTAACTCATTCACCCCTGAAGACACATTTGAACTCGTCCAATTCAATGGTTGGAATAGTTCATTATGAAATTTCAGGGGTGATCGAGTTAAACAATCCATCTTCACAATTAATATACCTTTCTAAGAGCTGCAAATCCCTCCTCATCAAAAAGTCTGATGTTATAGGAGCCTGAAGGCAAGTTAGCGTGTTCATCGCTGAAGCTGACCTGTATAGGTAAAAAAGGACAAGTAAATATAAGCACCTATTGCAGAATTCATCATACATGTACAAAGAAACCCTTATTCATTTCTAGTATCACCTGAAGCTCCGAGAACTTTCTGTAAAGGAATTGAACTGATTTTTTTTAATTTGATTGATTAAGAATGTTTCACTTTGAATAAGCAAATTACATAAAATTTGTTTTAGAAAAAACAAAAAGGATTTTATAAAGGTACAGATATTTTTTTACCTGATATTTATCTCCAGTAACTGTTCTTGTCACCGGAAGAGTTTTTCCCTGAATGTCAGCATATAAATTCATATTCTGAAATGGTAAATATATACATTTAATAGGTACAAACACTGTCAGAATTATCTGTTCTGTTTTGCCATTTTTTTACTTGACCTTTTTTTTTTAAATTCATACTCTGAATCTTCTAAAAGCAAAATCTAAAATGATAACCAAGAACCTGAAATTTTATCCATCTTCATTTCATTTTCAAAGAAAAATATTTTTATCCCATTACAAAAAGTAGCAGAGTCACTGTAAAGATTTCATTCTTTCTATGCGTTGCTGTATTTTAAGTTTGTCATGGTCACGAAATGTTGAATGGTTCATTAAAAATGAAATATTGCTTTATTAAAGTAATTAGAAACAAAAAAGGTCAGTCAAGTTGTTTTCATATTTAGATGTAATTTACTCACCGATACACTGTTTTTGCATTTCAATGTAAACTCTATAATGAACACAGTATCTGTTGAGGTGACAGCCTCTGTTGTGGTGTAGGTCTGTGTCTTGACCTCTGGTGCCAGACATGTGTCTCCTGTACAACACACAAACAAAAGTTTCAGTTATTGTCAAACATTCAGTTCCTCAAAAAGATGTTGCCTCAGTGAAAATGTTTTGTAACTATCAGATTTGTCTAGGCAGAATAAACAAAATTACCATATTCCACAAGTCATTTTAGAGTAAGACAACTGATTTCTTAACTTGTTGTAAACAAATTGATCTAAGTGAAAAATGAGCTGTTTTGTCACATTGCACATAAATCAAACAATTCCTGAGTAGAAGTTCTCCTCTACCTCCTTACTTAGAGTAGTTCTTTTAACCCCCACCCCCTTAGTAGAAAGGGGCCAGACATTTAGCAATAGCTTTGACATTTGGCAGTGCAACCAATCATATTGGAAGCATAGTGTACATGCATCCGTCCCGAGTAAAAATATTGTTTACAAGATAGCGACCCCTCATCGACCCCTGAACCGATTCAGGATTTATAAACACCAAAACAGGGTAATATCAAATCCCACACCTAGTAATATATCATTTGACTTTGGCGGTTATCAGTCGAGACTATTAAAAGTAACACTAAACCACCTGAGAGGGTTAGGGTTTTATCAATTGAGTTAGCCCCAGCTTTACAGAGATAGTCCTGGTTTCATAGGATGGTGAAGCAAATAATAGGTACATATCATTATGTAGTTCACCATCATAACAATCTATTCAGTGGGCCTGAAAATTCAAAGTTGGTTTGCCCAAAAACCTTAATTGCCCCTTATTTAGTTAGCCGTATAATAATGATTTTTCACAATAAATTTTGTTTACAATATTTCTTTCTTTTAGTTCCATATAAAATTGTCTTCATATGCGACTCTTGTTGATCGAACATTTCAATATTTGTTCTATAAATATATATAAGTATATAAATATTCTGATGAAAACCAATAGTATTCACAAGTTTAAATATTACTGATTAGTTGTAAGTTAATATAGATTGCATTTGCAGACTAAAATATCAGACAATGCAGTGTTTGTAAAGTTTTGCCAGGAATTTGAGCATTAATATTGAATTTAGTCATCCAAAATAAAAACAGTTCTTTTAAACACTTGGAGCAAAAAAAGGCGCTATAAGCAATTGTATTCCGAATTATTCTGACGTTTATCGACTTTTATCGGTCTGTCGACGATTAACGTTAGAACTCCGGCCCTCTATAATATACGGGAAATAAGCGACTCACGTTAGGGTCGCTGTTCAAACTGATATTTTAGAAATAAATAGTCACTTTCACACACATGTTGCACATGGATCGAAAGATCTATTCTTTATGCACTAGGTGGTATCAATAACATGTTTCAAAGATCACTACGAACAGTATTTTTCAACGTTTTCTATGCCAACCCATGTTTTTAATGGAAATAAGGCCATATGCAATGTCACATGATTTGACGAGATCTTGCATTACCGAAGGTATTTCCCAACGTTATGACGTAGGCCGTCGAGATTTTAGTCACATGGCATTAGAAGGCGGGGCTATCAAAAACGTAAAGTAAAACAGAGTAAGTTTTAAAAAATATAATTTTAGTGATTGTATTGGTTATTTGAGGCAAGTTATGTATGTTCATCATGTTCATAAAAAATAGATCTTTCGATCCATGTGTGTGAAAGTGACAATTTGTTTCTAAAATATCAGTTTGAAGAGCGACCCAGGCGCGAGTCGCTTATTTCTCGTATATTATAGACGGAGTTCTGACGTTCCGATATAAAAAAGTCGATAAAACGTCAGAATAATAAATCGGACTATAAGCAATGGAGGTGATACAGTTTGTCATTTTCACACAGGTTTAGACTTTTTTGTGTGATCACAATTGTACCTCATTGTATTTTTGATTTCATAATGTTGAAAGAATAACGCACTTTTTTGTACATATGTTTTCATCTCACATTATTCCCCATTTCAGTAATAAAAGTGTTACTGAAATGGGTAACTGTTACCCAAATGCAGGAGTGTTACACATATGCGCCGTTGTGCATAACCTGATTATAGTAAATATTTTCAAGTTATTGGAGAATCTGTATATATTTTTTTTAGATTTTGAAGATGAGTTCCTGTTTTTGATATGTCATATTTTACCATATTTAAAAGCGATCTAAGGCCAGAGTATATAGGAAAATTGCAAATGTTCCATTTTAGCATAAATAAAAAGAAAGATTCGGTTACTCTTATGTACCTAAACGATCAGTAATTACTACTTAACAAATCGGATAAATTTCTAGCCCTATAGTCGTTGATCACTGAACCAATATCACTGTGCCACGTCAACACACAAAGCCGACAGTAAAGTGTTTCACTTGGCCGTTACGGACGATGGTATGTCAACATACAGCTGGTTCGTGATAAAGTATCTTATATTAAATGAAGTGATCGAGATTTCAAACCATTTTACCTAGAACACACAGCGGGAGAACAAAAAGGCAGCAGAGCACAACAACGCTACTGGTAGTCGCCATATTTGCCGGGTTGGAAAGGTAATGCGGAAGTGCCCTTTGTAAAAGCGGGACAACTCTGTTTTACAGAACGGCACGGGGCACGCCCCCTCGGGGCGTTAAATGTGAATAACAGGTTTCCAAGGAGCTTTCTGGTCCGAAATAATGATCTCCTCTCTTTTTTGATGAAGCAGATATATCTGCGCCACATCCCAAATTTTAAAAGGATATAGTCAGCTATTTCGGACTAAGGACTTCCATGTAAAGAAAAGAGCTAAACAAAATATCGACATTCCTCTACGTTCAGAAGTTTTCTTTTGATAATATGTGTATTCCACGTCTATTTCCAGGAATGGATAACATTTGTATATTAGGTCAGCTTCCTAATGTCATTCTAAAAATCATAGTAATTTTATCAGAAAAAAAGAGATGTTGAAAATTATCAGTACCTGATTACACTGGTCCTTTGTTCCAACCCGTCAGCATTTCTAAACGATTTGCAAGGTCTGCAGATCAGTAAATAAATCGCGGACTTATAAATTCACAGCCCGCTTTCGTCAAAAAATATTAATGTTTATAAAAGACTCCAACCTATGTTTTTATCGTTGTGTCAAAAATGTTAAATAATCTATACTAAACTTGCAGAATTAACCAATTACGCTTATATAGATACGTGCATGCCAGTGGGGAGTTTCCCAAGTGGGGAAAAATTGAGGAAAATGGTGAAAATACATGATTTTTAAAGAAAATACCGGNCCTCTGAATCCACCACTGCATTTGCATTCTTTATCGTTAACAAGAAACCAATAATCAAAATAATGTCACTCAATGTGTCCAGTGAATTAAGTAAGCCCTACAATGTCCGTAACATACACCATGAGTTGTCTATGTCCTACAGGCTTATTTATAAACTATGGGGAGTAATAAGGCCCTCGTAACAGAATTAACCTCTCAGATGGAATTTCCTTATCTTCCATACACATGATATTCTTTTAGTTCAATGTTGAGCTCTCCGCATTTGAAACCATGGTAAGAAAAAATGTGCATCTTACAATGTACATGGCAACATTAATGACCTATACCTATTTCTTAATCCTAATTAGTGAAGCTTTTGCATACTGCTATCATTTTAAATATACTTTTGGTTTACAAGGGAGATCCTACACCATCGGGTAGAATATCAATATCGTCAATACCTTTACACATATTATGGACCTACTTAGTCTTGCACCGTTTCCTTCATAGCAGAATCAACCAGTGATATATCAGTTTTTGTCATCAGCGCATGGATATAATAACTGTTTTTTATTTTCGAGTCTACTGTAAAAATGAAATCGAAACCAGAAGTTGACTTCGTTATTAGTGACGTAAAATTCTTGAACTATCACGACATTGATCGTTGACATGGATCAACGGCACCACTGCGATAGGAAAGAAAAAATGCACGGCCAGACTGGCATTTGAACCAGGACCCTCCGAACTCTGGACGGATGCTCTGCCTGATCGCCGGCGATCGACCGCCTCTCAGTGTCAGATATAACTAATTGTTTATAACTGAACGCCTCAATGCACGATAAAGCGGACTGTTTTACAACTAAACACCTTGATGACTATTTTTCATAACTTGACACATCGATGTCTGAGAGAACTGATTGCTTTGTAACATAGTTTATCACATCTATAACTGAACACCTCTCTGCCTGACACAGTGGACTGTTTTTCACAACTAAACACCTCGATGTCAAATAGGGTTGGCTATTTCGGAGAGAACTGACTGTTTTACATAGTTGATCACATCAATATGTCAGGTAAAATTTACTGTTTTACTTGTCAAAACCCCTAACTTATCTTAAATACAGCCGACTGTTTTAAAAACCTAACACATCGTTGTCTGATAGAGCTGTTTTACCTGAATAAACCGTTCAATGCCTGAAACAACAGACTCCGGAATTCGTTATATTAGTCTGTGTGATTAACCATTGACGGACGACCTCACTACTGCCACCACCACTTGGGCGATCATAACCTGCCCATCGACATTACCATGGCAACGTTTGTAAAAAATAGGAATGGCTGCCGCAAGTGTGAATCAATAACTGTCGGGTTCAAATAAGCTAAAAGATGCCATTTTTGTAACAACTCTGAATGCACGTGTGACTCAGAGACACCCGGTGCAGCCGATACCTGTATGTCGAAGGTGAGTACATTCATACATAGCGAATACTTCTACAAATTACTTATTGTGTGACGTTTTGTTTCAAAATTGATTTGGATGCGTAAAATCGAATTGTTGAATATCTGTAACATTGATTTATAGCATACTGAATGATTGACCTAATCCTCGATAGCTTGTGTCGTCTTCCACATGGTTCGATTTCTGGAATGCATATCAATACCTTTAATATAGATACACCCATCGTAGATTGTCCAAAAAAAGACGAAGGTGTGTATTTATATGAAATGTTTTACATTTCAGAAATCGAACCCCTGTGTCCTCCCGGACTCCCGCGTGAGGAAACAAGTAGACCTCAATAATATTAAAGGTGTATGCTGGCTGACTGGAATACCCTTAAATTAAATTTGCAATTGATCAATGTATATGGTTCTGAAGAATACACGCATTGGTTATATTTGGGTAATTCTGGAGAATGTTATTTGAAAGTTGTATAAGGCAACACCACATGTATTTAACATTGTATTGTACAATATATTGTATTGTATTGCTCGCACCGAGCATCCTTAAAATACAACTAAGTACACTTACAGAATATCGCGATCCTTAACTATGATTTACGCAAGCTACAGGAATTAAGGTTTAATGCTATGATTTATCATCATACTCGCACGTAAGCACAAAGTCTTTACTTAATATTTATCTAAGTCCGTGGCCATACAGACCCCATTGTAGCGAATTATCTGAACGTATCTAACACCCGGTAATGAAATCAATGAATATCTCGGCAACTTGACACCTAGGCCTTGCCAAGGAGTCAAACTGCATTATTCAAAGTATGATGACTAAACGCTATATCGATGAACGAATCTAATATGTGGAGAGAAAAGGGGGAGAAATTCGGGAGGAGGAGCTGTTTGAGGCTTTTGTGGTATCGATCGCTCGACACGCGCACCTGCTTAATTGTCTTTTTCGTCTTTTTGCGGACAAGAAGAGAGTGTTGGAATTCGGCCCCTGTGGCTCATTGTGCAAGAGTGACGAAGATGAGCACCGCCAATAACAAAATTAGACGTTAATATCAGTTCACTTTTGATTATCGTAATGATTAGACATAAAGATGAGATAACGCACACTTTTTCAATGTACAAATCCATTGTACCGCTGAATAAGGTACACATTTGACAGACTGAGTCGCTATGGCGAGATTGAATTGTAGAATAGGCACAGGAGCAGAATATTTAACAAACACCGATTGAGTGGCTAAAGTAAGGATTAAGATATAAGTATATATTTCCACCCTATAAAGACCTTGCATGCACGATATAAGATTGTCGCAAATATTTGTATACAAAATTCAATTCAGGGAGATAACTCTGTCAAGTGTAAAAGAGTGATTTTGAGTACGGGTAGATGTTAAACATTGTCTAGTAGTCAATCGCTCCATCCCTACTTCAATGATACGGGGAGTATAAATAATGCTAAAGCCGGCGTTGTTCACAAGGGACTTCTAAATATGATGGATTGATTCCATCATAGGTGCCTCCCGTTTCATGCCTGGTTGAGAAATGTTACATTTAGAAACAACGCTATTTTAGAATCCGTATTTACTAACTTACATTGATTGGTTTGGTTTGGTTTGGTTTGGTTTAATTTTGTTTAGCGTCCTAATAACAGGTAAGGTCATTGAAGGACGTGACTGGAAGACTTTAAAATGCTTTTCTGGTTGCTACTACCAACTTTAAGGATAACCGAGTGTATTGGACTCTTCATTCACTGCGGAGCTGGCCCTAGGCGAAAGAGCGAGCCGATCATTGAAAATTGCTCAGTTTTGCGATTATGATATAAGTATAGTACAAAATTATTACGAGAAAGTTGTAAATGAAATACATAGTAGGAAATCCATTGATATATAGGGCATGTATACATGATATCGAACTAAAACACTGGTATGATATACCATTAAGCACACTGCGGGTTGATGAAGGTATTTTTACCCTCTTTTGCCTGGTGGCAAGATCTTAATGATCATTGGATCATCATAACGATACGTAGTTGACACAAACATGGTTTAGTTTGATCACAAAATGACCCCTAAATGTGTGATGTAGAAGTTATCTGAATTTACGTGTGTAACATTTGAATGTTAGCTATTTTCCATATCATTTGTATATACTATATATATATATATATATAGGCAATTAAGGCGCATTTGTAATGCCAAGTAAACTGAGGCAGCTATACAGTTGAAATTGCAATCAAGTTTAACAGCTTCCAATTTGCATTGTTAATTTGGTTTGCCTGTAATTAGTCTATAGTGTGACTCGTACACAGCTTTGATGCAGTAAGTGTCGATACACCATGGTGCAATTTGTATCCTGGTTTATTTCCACCATAATTACAAGTGTTTACCTTATAAAATACTATAAAGCATGGGACACCAGCTCGTGGTAACAGTACCAGGATCTAAATCTAATTATAACTTGTTATTAACTTATCCCTTTATTCAATTCAGATACATAGAACATATAGATACTTTAAACTTAGAACATCACAGAAAAGTGCTGTCCCTCTTTGTTCTCGTATCCTGATTGAATTCTTGGAATATTGCTTGGTTACTGAAGATTAGAATCAAACATTTGCTAACGTTGTAACTACAATGTTTCCATTAGACGCTTTGAAGTATATCAAACGAATTCAGTTGATTTTTATTAGATTTGAACTTTAACAGATCGATTTGTGTTTTTTGAAGTAAAATATTAGCCTCCGTTCACTGTTTCAATGTTTTCGAAACACAGGGGCATGTCACACATACTATATATATGAAAATATATTTTACTACTTTATATACATGTATTGTGTCATGTACCTTTGTTTCGAAAGGCCTTGTTTA